AGTGCCCTAACTACAGCTCTACTTTACATCACCATCTCCCATCTATTTTCTATCCGAAACATGCACATAAATTTGGATCCTATTGATTTATGGCTCCACTTCGTCGTCCTGACAAGATGCCTTCACCTTCACGATTGAATATCTCTAACTCTACCCTACTTACTTCTCATCTTCATATTACTTTTCTTATCCCACCTCATTTTGCAATGTCTTGTCAATCTTCTATGTGCTTGCTTTCAGGTTAGCTTTTGGTCCCAATAATTGTAGTTTAAAAGCACGTTTGAGTTAGGATCACAATTTAGATCCCATTGCTCTTTATTTCTATCACATTTATTGCTTTTGGTATGATCCTTAACAAATCGTTTTCATGTTTATTTTAGTTTATTGTTTAGCTTTTAATTTATTTTATTATTACTATTATATTACTTATTGATCATTATTATTCTATTTCAGGCACATCGCGTAGTTCTAGCCGCTTGCAGCGACTACTTCCGTGCTATGTTCACTGATGCGGTGCTCGAAGCGCGACAATCCAAAGTACAAATACATGGAATTTCGGCTCGAGGTATTGAATTGCTGATCAATTTTATTTATACATCGAATTTAGTGCTCGATTACGAAAATGTACAGGATGTTCTTGCGGCAGCGATATTTGTGCAAATGAAAGATGTAATCGATGCCTGCTGCAACTACCTCGAATCTCACATCGATCTAGAGAACTCTGCTTGCATAGCTTCTTTGGCTGATATATATTCATTAGATAAGCTTCAAAATAAGATCTATCGTTTTATATGTTCGAATTTAAATGAATTCTCAGAACTCGATGACTTTTATCAATTAAAATTCGAACAAGTTAAATATATTCTATCGAGTAATTATCCTGTGAACTGCACCGAAAAACGCGTACTGATGATTATTTTGGGATATTGCAGAAAAACAAATCTGAACGCTGAACCTGCTGCGAGTCTTTTTTCTGAAATACGCTTTAGCGAAGTAGGAGGCTGGGATACTATTATTAAGCAAATGAAAATGTTAACAGATAATGAGAAAAGTGGGTTTTCCTTTATGCAAGATCAATATATAAAGGCCATGTTAGCAGAATATAAAGAACAGCAAACACAAGTAGCAAGTTTTGACATCCCCAATGAAGCTATAGCCTCAGGAGTTTTACTGAATTCACGGGGCTTGGAATTGGCTTTGGTGAAAATTGGTGGTTTTGAAACGCATGGCATAACGAACCAAATTAATTGGTACAATCCATCGACTCTCAAATGGGAAGTTTTGACGGCCATACCACATATTGATCAATGTAAGTACGGTTTGAATTATAAATTCAAAGAATTAAAAGCTAATATATTTTTCTATGTACACATACACAGGCAACTTTGGCACTGCTGTTTTAGGCAACGAATTATATGTCGTTGGTGGAGCATACGATGTCAATTTAAAAGAATATGTCCACTCTTTTGGTTTCCGTTATTGTCCCATCAAAGATGAATGGAATGCAATTGCTCCAATACAAATCGATCGGTGTCGGTTTTCATTGAATGCCATAGGCAATAAGTATCTCTATGCCGTTGGTGGCGTTTGTGAACCAAACGATAACCGTGATGGTGTGTGGAAACCAAGTTGGCCATTATCAAACGTTGAACGTTATGATGCAGTAACTGATACTTGGCAATATATGCCAATACTGGAAGAGAACAGAAGTCAGCACGCTGGTGTAGTTATAGGAGATCAATTGTATATATCAGGTGAGATATTTGAAAAATTAATATATCTCATTTATAATATTTAATAAATTGTATTTTAGGTGGAACTGATCAGCACTTGGTGCTGAAAACATTTTGGCGGTTCGATAGTAACACGGAAAAATGGCACAAATTGGCACCAATGTTAACACCACGAGCTGATCATGCCCTCATTGCTTTAAATGGTTTAATTTATGCTTGTGGTGGTTGGTATGAAAATCCAGAAACGGAAGCGATAACACTTGCCGAAACAATGGATGTTTATAACATTGCTACCGACGAATGGACGATTGAGACGAATAATCCTACACTCAAGCATCACAGCGGTATTGCAGCCGTTCAACGTAAAATCTATTTCATTGGCGGTTTGCTTTCGGAACCAAAATTTAACCGTGCAACTTGCGGCGTTCAATGTTACGATTTGGATACGAAAGAATGGAGTTTTAATAAACCAGAGAAATTTCCAAAAGACGTTTGGGAATGCGCTTGCGTTGCGTTATATGTACCAAGTGTGCGAAGTGAGGAATGTTAGAATTATATTAAAATCGAAATGTGAATTTAAATATAAATTGAACTGATGAACTTAACACTTATAAGATGATTTTCTAAGGTATTTTCATAACCTTAAGTTTAGTCACATCTATATGTATCTATGTAGCAGCTATATTCCTTTCACTGATTAGATATAATTTTTCATATAGTTTTTTATAATTTAACATTTTGTGTTCATTATGCCGAATCAAAAACACTACTTAAAAGAACTAGCCACTCTAATAAATATATTTTAAAACTATAAGCGCTTGGTTGACAGTCGTAATTTAAGTCTAAATACTGACTTAAGTATAGATTATGTCAGCATATAGTTGATTTATGTCAGTGTTGAGACTTAAAATATTTCTGTATTATTTTTATATAGTTTATATATGGAAACACACTATATACGAAATATTGTATTTTTTAAGTTAATTGTTTTTTTCTATTTTGTAATAAATGTATACCATGCTTTTCGTATAAAAAATAAAATTTTGTTTAAGTTACTTTTAACTGTCAACGTCAATTATTTATAGATAACCAAAAATATATTATTTTATATATATTATTTAACATAAAGGAACTTTTATCACGTATAACATTTTTGTGGCACGTAATTATTTTTCACAAAGTATAGCCAGATTTAAAAATAATAGTATAAGGATTGTATAATGTCCAAAGAGATTGCGCAATTGGGACGATATTAATATTATTACAGCTGCGTATGCCTAAAGTTTGGTAACAATAAAATTCTAACATTTTTTAAACGTTTATAAAAAGGATCGCTATCGTGGGTATATATTGGTTTTACACAATCCGCTAAACATTCAATTAACGATTAAAATACTTGTTTTATTGCATACGAGTATTATTAAGTGACAAATATTACAATTTATATTTGGTTCCAAACGAGGTTCTACGTCCCGGTAGAGCTATGGAGTGGATCTACATTATCCATATCGTAACCTATGTATCCGTCTTGTAAATTCTTTTATGCTATCTACTTTCCAGATCCTAGCGGGTTACAACAACAAAGTCCCGGAGCCGTTCCTGAAGTTTAACAATCGTTAGACCGTTCACTATTCCCAAAAGGGACTATATGAGGAGATCTCCGAGGGTTATCACTCCAACAACAATATATACTACGACTTGTGTTTATCTCAGTTGACATATTCGATAATTTGCCTTTTAAGGAATGTGAATACCTTCTATGATTTGTTGCTGTATGACAACACACACACAAATAGGAATGCACTAAATAGGTGAGTAAGATAATATAATAAATGGTGGGTTGGGTAGGAATAATTGAACCAAGTTTGAATTCAAATAGAGAAGCTTGTCACCGTTTTTGGGGCGGAACCATAAATCGATAGAGCTCAGATTGTTGTGTGTTGGCACTGGCGAAACGATGAACAAAATCATTGGAAATATATTGCATATATTGGTGATGTTGTGGTTCTATATGTTGCAAGCAAGCTGCAACGAGTTTGCCCGCACGCAAGAAAGTTAAGTCTGCTGCTGTTTAGTTTTAGATATTCAAAGAGAATGTTCTCAGGCGTTTTCAATATCCATTTCACAACAGTGGCAAATACTGATCAATACTATATTTCTCTACTGATTGTATATAGAATATTTATAAAAATAACTAAAGACAGAGGCTCAAAACTTTTCTCTACACATATAAACAATAAGTAACAGTTATCGCTTTTCAATATAATATTTATTTCATCAATAACATATATTTAAATAAAAAAAAACGGTTTTTAGTTTGGTATAGTCATTTATTGCATTATATTAATTTATGTATCTTTATTTGAACATATGGCATATGTATTTTTTGTTATATGTGTAATGTGTTTTACAAATATGACATTTGTTAAACTTCAAATTTTATTTGTTTTTTTTTTCATCTACCAAAAAACAGTTTTATAAATTATACAATTTTTCTAATTAGTCATTCCATTGACTTGTCTGAACTGATTTTAGTTTGCTGATTGATTTACATTGTGATTATAATTTCAATTCGTAATAATCCAAATAATATTGCAATAAATCTAACATTTATTTTTTTAAGTTATATTTAAATAATTAAATTTTTTTTTAATAAATGATCAATTATGATTGGTTTGGATGATTAAAGATATTTTCGTAAAATGTATATAATTTTTAAAATATATTTAATGCAAAATAAATAACATTAAATTCGCTAAAGCTTTACTAATATAAAATTAAATTAAATTAATTAAAATAAAATATATTTAATAGAAAATTAAATAGTCTTTATATACAGAAACACATTTTGGTATTAATTGTAATGTAAAAATTAAATGAACTCATAGAATTTATATTAAAAACAAATAACATTATTGCACATTAAAATTAAGCTTAAACTTTATAATTGTGTGGTTTAAGGATAACACAAAATATCACATATAAAATTATTTAAAATTAAAAAGGACTAGCTTCGTTCTTCATTTATAACAAAATGTTAATTTGTGATTAGTATTTGGGATAGTTTTGGTACTAAATTAATTATTAATTAAATTAAATTACAATTAAATGTGCGCTAAGCTGTTTGTTTCTTTTTGTTTTTTTTTTGTTTGCTTAAAAACAAATACAAAAATTATTTTAAGTTTCATTTTCGTTAAATATTTTTTAAAAATTTATTATATTTTGTTAAAAATTTTAATTTATATTGAATTTATTTTATTGATTTGTTAAAAAAAAAACCTTTTAGAATACAAAACAAAATGCTCATGAAAGCTTTAAGCGGCAACAAAATTACTCAAAGCTTATAGTATATATCTTTGATAGCGTTTTTCTGTTAATTGAACTAAGCGCATAAGCGATTAATTTTAATGTAATTAAGCTACTAAGAGCTCTTCGTGTAGTCCTTCGTGTAGTCCTTCGACATCGAGTGATTTATTCGATTTAAACATGTAATTATTGTCACCTTGACTGGACGCCTGAGACTTGGAGCTAGATGTCATATTATACAGATCGTCAAGATCTTGACTGCGCCTATAGCTGAATTGGGTAGTGAAGAATAGTTCATAGATTATATCAAGTATAATAAAGTAATATATTATTTAATAGACTTACCTGCTTACTGGACGACTATATGTGGACATGGCTGGACTTGCGGGATTAATACTACTGTCATTGTCTTCACTCTCCTTATTTGTATTTGTGCTATTGTATAAATCGCAGTTGTCTAAGTATTCGGAATGCAAATAGGTATTTAATTCGTTTTCGTCTTCTTCATTGTCAGCATAATCTTGTTCATTGTCATGATCCTGCAGTGATTCCACCATACACAACCATTGTGAATTGTGGTTACGGAATTTTTCAAGCTGCGAGAAAAAGTTGGTTAAAATATTATTATTTTAGTTTATATTGGAGAAAAATATACTATTGCTCACCTTAATCCTTTTCGCCCATTCGCTATCACTCACAGCAATAATATCTAAACAATAGTCACAAACTTTACGTATTTCCGCATTCTTATCATGCATCAAATCAATAAGATAAGCTGGTGACTCAGTCTCCTTAATCATGTATTCACGTGTGCTCTCATGACGTAATATTTGTTGGAATACATAAATAATCTGTAAAACAATTTCATCGTCTTCTTGTTTCGCCTTCAATAATTCAATCAGTGAAAGCACCACTTTAGCACGACAAAACAGAAGTGCACAGAGTTCATCATTGGCACATGTGCCCAAGTAAACAATTGTGTCGAGGACAAGATCATCCAATTTAGCACCTGGTGCTAAAGCGCTACGTATCCATGGTATAAGCTCAAAGTTTTGTAAAATTTGTGAGTAATCAAGATCGGCTAATGAAAGATTGCCCAAAATGCCCAAGCATTCCACAATAAAAGCCTCTTCGTCGCAAATCGTCAATATGCGTGCTAAGTCTCCAACATAATCAATGAACAATGGTTGAAGTGTTTCATGTTGTGATAAATTTCGTAACAATTTCATCAATAACGAATCCTGATATTTAAAAGCACGATCCATCAGACTATGTAGTCGATTTCCATCTACCATAATTTGTGCATTCCGTTTGTTTAGCGATAAATTAATGCAAAGCGCAATCAAATCGAGATCTACTTTTACATTGAGATTGAGTATGATCGCATCTGTGGCCAACTGCACGCACTCAGTATGTGTAAACATACCTTTGACCTAAGTCAAAAAAAAAAATTGCAATATATAGTACATATAGTAATATTTAGATAATTAAGTTACCTTATCGTCCAAACTCATGTGATAGAGTATTTTAACAGCAATTCCGTGATGCTTCTCATCATTAACGAACATTACTAAGATTGGCAAGTAACCTGCAGCAATCATTTTCCTACGCACAGTTCCATCAAAGGATAAATTAAAGACTAACTTAAGTGTTACTTGTACGAGATCTGTGTGTCCAGACTGAAATAGGCGTGGCAATTTAGAAATTATATTCAATTCACTCATATCGTCTTTATTGTCGCCAACAATGGAAAGTTTTTTTAGAAATGTTGTGACTAGCATAAGCAAATCTATGTTCTGTCGATCTAAAGCTTTAACGAGCATCTTAACAATATTCTTACGTCTCATCTTCTCTTCTAGCTTTACATTCTCCGCCATGTTGAGTAGCAAATAAAATGCTACTCGCAATAATTGCTCTTGCTTTTTAGCAAAAACTTTAAGTTGTTTGTTAAGACGATCCATTTCTTCTTTTTTCACTTTAGGATCATTACGATCTAAAGCCTCATTACTTGTAGCCTTCATATCACCATTTGTGGAAATGCCAGAGTCTGGTGTGGTGCCACCAGCGGAAAGTGCTTCATGATAGCTAGTATTGAGTACTTGACTCTTAATTAGTGAGGAGGACATGGAACCATGAAAACTTGACCAATTTCCAGATTTTGGACGTTGTTTTAGTTCAGGTATGCGACGGCGCGGTGGTTCCATCTGTAAAGTAAGTTGACAAAAATAAATTTTACAGGCATTATTCAATGGCATCTGTCGAAAAACATTAATGTAATATACGTTTATTTGATTTTATTGTAGAAGAACAATTATGAACCATATTATTTCAGTCTAATTCAAGTGCATTTATTTGTCAGTGTTTTAATTTAACTGTTTTTGTCATATATACTATATACATTAAACTATTTCTATTTTGAATACATTTCCACACCACTACATGATAAGGTTTAAAGAAATGTTTCATTAAAGTAAGTAAGAATTATAATTTCACCAAATTATATGCAGTCAAATTTCAATCGAATTCAAAATATTCAATTAAGAGTATTAATACATACAATTGTATGAATTTGAATACTGGGATAATTAAAAATGTCTTTAATAATAACATCTACATTGAACTACTTCCATTTTGAACACTTTTCTACACCTGTACAAGATTCTAAAATTTAAGTTTAAATACTCACTTCTTTGGGTTTTTCTTCATTCATTATGTCTAGAAAGTCATCAGAGCTGCGATTTAATTTTTCTTTGCTTTGCTTAGCTGACATAGGAGTGGAACTACCAGGATTTCTTCTAACATCCAATTCGTGACGCATGCTTTCATAACGTCGCAATTCATAATCGACTACATCCATACAAAGTGAGCCAATCTAGGAAAAGACAAATTTAGTTGTTGTTTGATATTACAAATATTTGGATGTAAGCATACCTTGTATTGTACAATGACAGGATGAAATTTTGTATAAGTCGAAAAGCAAAAAAATATATATATTATATTTGTGGACAGGTCCAAACTCTTGCGCCAGTCCTCACGTAGCACACGTGATAATGCGCTTAGACAAGCCTCTAAAAGATTTTACAATAAATTAGATTAAAAATTTGAATTTTCATCTTGTGATCATACCATTTTTCTCCAGTTCTTCTAAATTATCTGGATTTCTTGCTACTTGCAGTATCATGGCTGAGCCACGTATTCGATCGCTCAAATCCTCATACAATAGTTCCACATATTCATCAATGTTATTGATAGAAACCTCAGATGCAGTCGGTGTGGAGGTTGTGGTTGTTGTTGATGTATGCATTGTTCTAGCCGATGTACGATGTAGAGATGCGGAACGATGATGGCTATTGTTATCGGCTATGTCTGAAAAAAATAGAGGGTTAGAAGATTGATGTACACTTATAATATAGACATGTAAAGAATAAAATAAAACCAATGTAGTAGTGTAAACGTAGATTGATCTTAATATCGCATAACGAGATCCGATCGGCATAAGGTTAAAGCTAAGAAAAAAGATTATTACCACTTCCTGCATTATCCTTGCGATTTTTTAAATAAAATATTATTTGTTCTACATCGGCTAGCTGTGACTTATGTATGAGATCACATTTGTCCACAACTTCTCGAGCTAAGGAAGCTGGATCTGTCTTAGCATTCAGCGAACGTAAGCGTATTATTTTCTGACAATTCTGCAAGAAAAAAAATTTTATTGATTAATTTGATTTTTTTATACGTACTTAACATAGCTAGAAAGTAATAAATACTAGCAAGAAGGTCAAGTTCATTTGTCAGTATGGAAAAATAATTTCACTCAGACGTGAACGCCTCTCAATACAAGTAACTAATCAAATATGCCCATTCGTTCGATAATATTAACAAATATTTTTACAATTTTTTTTATTATTGTACATAAATATATTGTATACTCTAATTTGGCCATTAAGTATGTCATTACCACTAAAAGTTATTAATAAAATAGTTTTTTCTTTATTGCTCTGACACAAATGTCGCCTTTCTTTGGTAACTGAGTTCAGTGAACACGTGAAAAATAATTAGATTAATGGATAGTTATGACTGCAATGAATTTAATTATACTATTTTTAACTTAAAGAATAATAAACATAGTAAAGGTGCAATAATTTTTCAAAATAATGCAGAAAAATAATTCTGGATTTTACAACTTAATTTGCTATAGACATTTCTTTTAATGTGTGAAGAAAATTGTTTGACTTTACAGTAGATAATATCAAGGCTATTCTATTTTTGAGAAAGTGCTTTCTATATAATAATTAACTCATTCCCCTCTTACGAATATTTTAGCCAAACACAATATCAAACACCGAATTAGAGCTCAGAACCAAGCAATCACTAATTATTTAGGATACTTAGGATTTAATGACCCGGAAATTTAAGTGACTTTTTCACATTCTACCTAAGCTAGCAGTAGATATAAAAAAGGAAAGAAAGAATGCGGATTATAGCCCCTTTGGCTGCAGATGGATCAGAAGTCCACGTAAGACATAGAAGAGGCAATTTGAACCAGGGCTACAGACTGTTATAGCAAGAACTAGACTATAGTTAAGCGATTGGCATTCGATAAGACTCAATAAAAATTATGCACTATGGCCTTATATTTTTGTAGAGATTGAAGAGTATATAAAAAATACAGTGTAAATACATAGGGTCTTAGGTTCCCACTAAAGTAGAGCTCTTCAACTATAATAAACTATAACTTTTATGCTGCACCTTCCTTATATTGAAAAAAGTAAGAGATTATCAAACTTCCAGAACAAATGTTATCCATACAATAGTTTTGGTGAATATAAAGGCCTTTCGATAATTACTTATGGATTTTTATTGCCTATTATTGATAATCATGTGGCAGTATCGATAAAAACTCAAGGTTTATGTCATAGTTTTGTCATATTCAAGAGAGTGCCGGTTTACCACACTTCCAAATAGAAATGTTACACCATACAGTGACTGCTTGTGGATGTGGGTATCTTTTAAGATTTATTTGTTCATTACCTAAGATTTAATAGTTTACTGTGTTAATATTTTTACCTCATCACTTAAGAAAATGCATTCCGAAATATATACCCTTTCTGTAGTAAGTTCTTATAATTTTAACACGTTCAGTGATTGTTAAACGATCTGTATTGTAAAATTTCAAATCATAACCTAAACATATGTTGATTGAGATCAGGTCTGTCCAGACCAGATACGATCGCGGGCCAATACAAGTCACTGTGCAGATGAGAGGGTTGCAGAAATATATGTACTTGTTTCTTTTTGGAAAAAAAAAATACGATGATAATGTTATATTAAGTTTTATTAATTATTTATTTGAATTCAGTTTTTTAGAATACCATAAAAATAAAATAATGTAATTTTACTAAAATATATCAAAAGAAAATTTGCGTAATTGTGGAAGATTAACATGTCGTGGGCCGTACAAACATTAGCCGCGTAGGCCGTGCTTTGGACAGCTTTGATTTAGATATTACTCCTACTTCCAAGTGCGACTAAAACATTGCTGCCAACTAGACCATGATCTATTACATAGTCCACATGTAATAGACCCTAGACCCTTATAAAGAATTGAGTTTCCAGGTAGATGTTGACCTTTAACAAATCTTATCTGAAAACAAGTAGCATATTTGAAACTTTGATTCGTTCCAAATTCCTTTGATGAACCTTAGAGAAAGTATTTAGTAATCAGAAAACTTGAACTTTGACGAATGTGCTTAAACCAAAGTTATTTGGAAACTATTACCATCGAAAACTCTTTATGGAACTGTCAATAAGCACAATATGTATAACTTTTTAATATATCAAGAAATGCATCAAGTTCGCTTTAAGCAGACCTTCAGAACTATTTTAATAGACTTTACTGAAGTAAACAAAACAATATTTTGGTTATGCTTTAAAGACGTCAGTTAACACATGCAGTGACTATTTATTGATTTTTATGTATACGAGTATCTAGAACTTTTTTAGGATTGCCTCTCGCGTACTTCCAGCTATACAAAAACGAAGCATACTTAGCATGCGAATCCACCAGCTTAAGATAGCTAGACAAAGAAGTCAATGGCACACGGAAATATCAGTGTTTCCGATTTGCATTTCATGCAATTACACGTACTTAAAAGTAAAAAATAAAAAAAGAAAGATATTTATGAAATGAAATATGAATTGCAAATTGCAGACAAAAGATATGCAAATACAATCATCCTAATAGGTAAGTTGAACTCGCGTGTCAAGCAGAAGTTTATTTTCCCATTATACTTCACAGTGTGTTGTCACAAAAGTTTTTCTATAGATACAAATTGAAGTTACTCGTATATGTATACTTCCAAGCCGCTCGAAGCTTGAAGCTATGCGTCTTGTAACCATGATTCCGAAAATAGATAGTAAACAAACCTAACGAATTTCTATCTGTTATCTATCGTTTTTATTGCCAACCAAATACATAAATGGTAAAACTAAATACATAAAAGGAACGTATATTGTATATAAAATCATACATAGGTACCATATAGTGAATATTGCATAATGTGTAATTTCCGTTAACTTTAATTGGAAAATTTTAGCACCAACGAGTATCTAAAGAACTGCCGGCAGAAGTATCTGTATTTGTACGAGTATCTACGCACATTTCAGCGTAAATATTTACAAATCAAATATTTTTGTAAATACGCCGCCGGCACTGCCCGCACTAAAATTTAGATTTTGATCGAAGGGGCGACAAGTGATTTCGAACACCCCCGTCGATTTTACGAGTACATAAGTCCACACACAAATGGCTGTAAAGTAAGAGACTGTTTTGTTAAGTGGCACGTAGAATCGTATGAAGACCCCGAAGAAAAGAAATAGACGTATGTTTCAGAGATAGCACCAACCACTGCCTTTCCACTTACATTCAACAAAATTAAATACGTTTCAATTAGATTCAATTTGATTCAATTTTGATTTCAATTTCAATCGCGCCGTGTTGAATGTTGAATCTCTATTCCGCGTATTCAATGTGTCATGTCTTTTATTTGCTTTAATTTTATGAATGAATTATGCTTTTGAGTGTAAGTGCGAAATTTGTATTTTTTAATTTAAAAAAAATTTTTAATTTTACACAAAATATGTGGGCGTTTCGGTCTGAAGTGTTGCACGGAAGTTTTAATGAAATTTCAGATATGCAAAGATCAAGACTTTTTAATTGTTTTATATCTGAAATACACAAACTTTGCGTTACTGAAAATGTGTAATGACGTATGATTCGATTCCATTTGATTCGATTCGAATATTAATCATTTTACAATATGGTGTGCTGAGGTCAGAGAACTCTTTTAATATTTTAAGAAAATATAATTTTTTTATTATTTAAAATAAAATATTTAAATTTAGTTGTCACCAAAATGTTATTATTAATAAAATATGAAGTCAAGTAAATGCAGATTTAAGATAAGATGATATCACTGATAATCATTTATAATCCTTGTTCACAGCAAAGAGAATTAATCACATCAGCTCGGAAGCTGTGAAAAAATATCAAGTTTGAAGCAACATTTACTAAAGTAATGAAGTCATAAGTAAGTAAGTAAGTAAGGAAAGAAGTGGACTTACTTCCTTATTGATATTTTTATTCTTCAATGAAATATAACTAAAGGGAAAACTCTTATAAGAGTATGGATATATAGACCCATTTCGATAATTGCGTGAAGTAAATGCTATGCTTCAAAACTATAAGAACCTCAGCAATAGAAGTTTTTACTTAAGTTTCATTTGATCTTCTTTTTGTCTATTTATTGCAATATTATTAATTATTTAATTATTTCTTATTATACCCTATTATCCTATATTTGAGTAGCCTTCCCGGAAAACGCTTTGTGGTAGATTATATGGTAAGTGGCAGCCAGAATTATATCTATAGCGTAGCTAAAGGCACTCAAAACCTAGTAGTACCCAATTGGATGACATCGGCTAACAGCCAGGATCGGTGGATAGACTTCTTTGATGAGGCTAAATTTAGACACCGGTGTTGCTACTGTTTATGATAATGATGAAGCAAGAAGAAAGGTGCCTTTAACAGTGGAAAGCGAAGAGAAAAATGTAGCTATATAAGACTTTAAGCAGTTCCATTACTTTGGTTATGATATAATAAAGACCAATGGTGGTAATGAATACTTAATAAATCACTACAATTGTTGCTATAATTTTTCTTCGTTTTGTTATTATTGGAACGAATGTATGCGTATATGCGCAAGTATAAATATAAGTAAATTTCACTTGCTTGAAAATAAAAAATTGATGATATTTTTATATTCAAATTGTTTGTGCAGTGTTTTTTATAGAATTTATATTTAAATTAGCATTCCATTTTAATATTAAAATCTTTTATAATTAATATTTTCCAGAAATTTTTTTTTCGTTAATTTTTGTTCCATATCTTTTGTGCAATTATTTTAAAATTTTCTATTTCTATTATTTTATTTTAATTATTTTTTACTTTTAATAATAAAGCTTATTTTTTAATTTGTTTTTATTTTATTTTATTTATTTTTTACTTTAACATAAAGCTTAATTTTTATGAATTGTTAATATTTTTTTTATTTTTTTTTTATATTTTTTTATTTTATTTTATTTTTTTTTTTTTATTTTATTTTATTTTATTTATTTTTTACTTTTTAAAATA